GTGTAGAAGCCTTCGCATCATTAGTTCACCTACTTTGAATCAAAGTCCCGGGCAAATATGTATAATCCAAGTGCTTCAAAATGTGAAGTTGACGGCGACACAGAAGTCCAACGGTCTCGAATTTTTTGCAGGAGCAAATTAGAGTTTTCGTACGAGAATCAAAACTAATTTCAAATTTCCTATTTTTTTCTGCGTACTTTGACAAAATATAATGTTGACATTCATCTGATAAGGACTTAATCTCTGCCTCAATTCGGTACAATATCTCCCGTATAAGTTCATCTTGGAACGCACGAAAAGATTCGCGGGTAAAAATCGCAGTGGCATGGCTTTCAAGGTCGACCAGTTTTGTGATCTGGAAGGGCTTCGTATGGGAACTTAAGTAATCCGCTTTCAACTCGTTCATACGCATTCTACTAATTCCATCTTCAATTGCACAAACAACATCTAAATATGTCTTCTTGTGTTTCAATGTAATCGCTAGTGAAGCATTCATAGACTCGCACCTTTGTGCTGAGCGAATATTGGCAAAAAAATGACCAGATAGGTATGCTTGTGCCCATAAGTGTCGTGTATTTCCCTTCTCAATCACCCATGGATGCTTTTGGACGTTGAATTCTGAAACAACCGAACGCCATTGAATATCAAATTCCTCGATTGTCCACCAGGAAGCCATGCATTTTATGAATGCTGCTGTAAACTTTGGGTCACCAATGTTAGCTTGTGTATTGCGAGAAAGATGCCAAGAACATAATATGTGCTTAGCATAAGGGATAACAGATCTGATAGCCCTCTGCATTGCCCTATCCTCATCGGTGACAACTGAAATAGGTGATTTATTCATCATGGCTTCTAAAAAATTCTGTAGCACCCACTCGAAAGATTGAGACGTCTCGTCAGCGATTATGGCAGTGGCAAACACAATTGTGTTATGGTTATCTTTGTACGTTGTGTCGAACGCAATTACATCACTGAAGCATGTGTAATCCGATCTCGATGTAGAATCCGACCAAATAAGATTATACAATGCCCCCGATTCGTCTACCGAGTATGTCATAAAAAACCCAGGATCATCATGTTTCTTATAATCAAAGTAGGAAATAAGCGTATTCACATCCCCATCGACGATTTCCTTTGCTTTACCTCTTTGAAGTGCATTGTAGAGGTCTTTAAGTGTAAATCCAACATTATGATAGCCCCCTGCCTGCTGCGTTAAATAGTTTATTACTTGTGATGTGCCAACACCGACCTCTTTCAATGTTGTTGCCTCATCGATATCAGCCTTACTTACAGCTCTATTAGAACGCATAAATGGTGTCATAGCAGGTGTGCACAATGCATGATTATGTTTCTGATCAGACTTACTTATAACCCACTGATCGTTTGTATTTGTTGTTGTAACTAAGACTCTAGCCTTACATCCTGTTCTTGTGAGTGGCGTATGAGCACGTTGACGATCAACAGTATTGACTTTTGATCCTCGAAACCCTTCTTTGGAACAACAAAATTCTTGTGTCTTCACATTCCCTTCCACGTCAAGCCGTGTTGTTCCCTTACGTGCACTAAACCTATGTTCCCGTGTGAATCCCTTGTAAAAGTACCAAGCTTGATCACGTGAACAGAAGAGCTGACCAACCAATCTGTCAGATTCATCAACATTATGTACTTCATGGCATTTCTCTGTTGGCTTAACATTGTCTACATCAATATGATCCATGGCAAAAATTTTGTTGTACAAGTTCAGTGGTCCCGGAGTTGATAGAGATGTAAGCAAAGGTTCATTTTGAACATGTTTCAGTCGTGCTGCTTTCAATAGGATGTGATATTGGTAATGGTAGTTAAAGGGTGAGTACAACATTAAATTCGCAGTACATATTTAGGTATGTACAATAACTACCTAAATATGTGTCAATACATTTTCTACCTAAACATATTGTTAAATTTAAATTCTAAATAATATTTTATAAAATATCAAAACAATCAAATAATTTTTTGTGTAAATGAAATTATTAAATTAATATTGTTGGTGGAAAATATGAAACACTATTAAAAAAATTGAAACATAAATTACATAACTTTAAAAAAAGTATGGATCCTTTTTATAAAAAGTATGGACACTTTCAACATATCAGGTAAATTTTACCTTTTTTAAAAGAGAAGAAGTTATATCGTCAATAAAGTGTCGATACTTTATAAAAATGTATCGATCCATAACAATATAACAGGTAAAAATATGACAAAACTGGTCTCGAAATGACAAAACAGGTAAAGCGCTACCGGTTATGTTGAAAGTGTCGATAATTTATTATAGGTATCGACACTTTTGGAATTTAAAAGAGAAGTGTTATAGCGCCAATAAAGTGTCGATACATTATAAAAATGTATCGATCCATAACAATATAACATGTAAAAATATGACATATACCGGTCTCGAAATGACAAAACATGTAAAGCGCTACCAGTTATGTTGAAAGTGTCGATAATTTATTATAAGTATCGACTTTTGGAATTAATAAGAGAAGAAGTTATAGCGCCAATAACGTGTCGATACTTTATAAAAATGTATCGATCCATAACAATATAACATGTAAAAATATGACAAAACCGGTCTCGAAATGACAAAACAGGTAAAGCGCTACCGGTTATGTTGAAAGTGTCGATAATTTATTATAAGTATCGACACTTTTGGAATTTAAAAGAGAAGAAGTTATAGCGCCAATAAAGTGTCGATATTTTATAAAAATGTATCAATCCATAACAATATAACAGGTAAAAATATGACAAAACCGGTCTCAAAATGACCAAACAGGTAAAGCGCTACCGGATATGTTGAAAGTGTCGATAATTTATTATAAGTATCGACACTTTTTGGAATTTAAAAGAGAAGAAGTTATAGCGCCAATAAAGTGTCGATACTTTATAAAAATGTATCGATCCATAATAATATAACATGTAAAAATATGATAAAAGCGGTCTATAAATGACAAAAGGTGAACGCATATAGTGTCGATACATTTATAAAAAGTATCGATCCAAAAAATATCGAAACCGATAATTATAATGTAATAGGTAAATTTGCAATGTTACCGGTATAAATATACCGATTTACTTATAAAATAGGTCAATATAAGCGCTACCTATTACATTATATAAGCGCTACCTAATATGTTATTGTACTTGATAATATTTCTGGTTAAATACTTATTTTATTATATAAGCGCTATCTATTACATTATATAAGCGTTACCTAATATGTTATTATACTTGATAATATTTCTGGTTAAATAATATAACATAACCGATCTAAATTTTAACCGGTCACTTGTTTAACCGATCACGCCATATATTAACTGTTTTTTAAGCGCCGCACAACAGAACTACCCGTCTTTAAGGAAATCGTGATGTCGCTAATAAAGTTAGATACAAATCTTAGAAAATCCATTTGCTGAAGAAATCTCCCTCACTACTTTTTTCGTCGCTGTCATACTCTTCGAGAATGACTTCAGACAACCAAAAAGCTCCTTGATATCAATATGGGGTGGAATTAGAGATTTAAGGAGTTTGATTTTTTTTGACATTTTAGTAAAGAATGGGGTTTTTTAAATAAAATATTTTTAATTTTTTCTAAAAATGTAAAATTTTTAAATTTTAAAAACGTAACACATGTTAGATAACTAATTTTTTAAAGGCAATGACGGATTGACACTTAAAATGGTAACAATTATAACGTTAGACACCTACATTGACCGAAAAAAGTTTAAGTACCCAAATGAAAAAAAAATATATAGTTTGATCACTTTTTTATATCAAGCCTTTAGCAAATGAGTGTTAAGACTTTTAATCCCAAAACTTCCATTATTGGGATCAAATTGTATTGAACCAATATCGGAAGTGACCAAATCATTACTTTTTGTAAACTAGTGACCAAAACAAGTAGATCAAAAACATAAGGAAGCACCAATGTTGTTTACCCTATATTAAATCCTTGTCTTTGAGGTAAGTATGAGTGTTCAGATCCAATCCGATAAAAAAACCGATAACCGAAAAAAACCGAAACTGATTTAGTATGTTTGATTTGTTTAAACCGATCGGTTCGGTTCGGTTTCAGTTTAAAAATTCAGAACCGATCCAAATCGAACCGAACCGATTTAGTGTGCTTGTGGCTGGGGTTGTTGTTCTGGAATGCTTTAAATTTGAATAATTGCACAACTTTTAGTAGTGTATTTAGAGTTTATAATTTGAACAATGTGCTATTGGAATGAATTTGAGTTGATGTCATCAATTTGAATATAGGTTCTTGTTACTTTTTGTTTTTTGTTTTTTGTTTTTTTCTACTATTTGTTTTGTTGATCTATGTAGATTAGTTGAGAATTGAATTGAAATTTGATGGATTTAGTAATTTTGATGAGTTGCATTCTGGTTGGGAGCTGATATTGTTTCTTTTATGTTCATCAATGTTGTTTATTCGATCGATGTTAGCTTAGGATGTGAAATGGTGAAACTGTTTGGCCCCTTAGGCAGTGTTATTGTTTTAAATTATTTTGAAAAATTAGAATCCAAAAACCGCACAAATCCAAACCGAATTAAGCCGCGTTTAATTGGATCGGATCATATCAAATTTTTTTTAGAAACATCCAAACCTATCCAATAAACATTTATACTTTTGGATCGGATGAATTTTTAGCCAAAAACCGATCCAAACCGACCGCGAGCACCCTTAGAGATAAGGGCAGATTTGTAAATTTTCAGACAAGTAAAGGTAAGGTAAAGGTTTCCAGTTTCCGCCTAAAGAAGCCAAAAGACAAAGACAGCATAAGGTAAAGGCAGCAACAATAGTTACCGTTATCAACCGGGACCCACAAATCCATCGCCCATGATTAAACAAATTCCCTACAACTCACTACACTCAATAACTCCCCTTTCACGTTTCTGTGTATAGCTGCTTTTCACACTTTCCCAACTCCCCAACAGATCTCCCTCTAGTTTTCTTCGTTTCCTCTCTGCCAAAACAATCACTGAAGATATTCCTGAAACCCTAGAAAAGACCTGGTTTTAATTTGAAACCAGGTCTTTTTTATAGTGAAATTTGTTGTATCAATTATTCACATTTTATGTTAGATCTCTTCATTATCTGCTTTCTTTAGTTTCCTTCTCTTTTTTTTTTTAAAAAAAAATTCTTTCGGTTTTTGGTTTCTTCTCCTTGAAGCTTCGTTAAGCCTCATTCATCTTTACGCAATGAACGACCTACTATCGGTAACGTTTTCATCCCTTTCATCTATGTTTTTTTCTGCTTTGATATCGGAGTTTATTTGTTTATTTTGGCTGTATTTGTTTTTGTTTGGATCTAAGTTTTATTATTATTGTAATGATTGCTACGATTGCTGCATTTTGCAAAGCTTTGTTTGGATCGTGATTAATGTGGATAACGAAATTATAATTTGGGGATTTTAGTTTTGTTTCTTCTGTTTGGATAATGTGAAATTGGAGGAAAATTAAGCAGATTTAGAATTTTTGAATGTTGAATCTTATTATTTAGGATACTGGTGAGCTTATTACTCTAGTAATTTAATCAATAAGAATTCAGATCTATTTAGAAATGTTTTTAAATTATTTAAAAATTAGTTGTAGGATTGTAAGACTAGATTACTATAACTTATAGCTTAAGGTTGTAAAAAAGAAAGTATTTTATCTTTTTTTTTTAAATAAACTTTCAGGGCTTAAACATGCCAAAGGTCATTGAACTATTTGAATTTTTAAATTTTAGTCCCAATATTAATTTTTCATATTTAGTCCTTTTACTATTTTTTATTTTAAAATATTGTTCCCTCTCTAACTTATGTTCAATTTTACTGTTAATAGCTAACCTGACAACTATAAAAATTGAAAAATAACTTTTTTAATCCTCTACATTTACATATCAAACCGACCCTTTAAAAGTTTTAAACTTGGAAGATTGAAAAACTGTATTGTTCAACAAATGATAATTTTTATTTATTTTTAATGATTAAGGGTCTAAATGATAAAAACTGTAAATGCATGGGACTAAAAAGGTTATTGTACCTGTTATAGCTACCAGGTCAACAGATACGGTAAAATTGAATAGAAATTAGGGGTGAGACGAAGATATTCAAGTAAAAAAATAGTACATTGACTCAATTTTGCAAAAATAAAGTATAGGGACTAAATTTTGAATTTGAAATAGTATAGGGACTCCTATTATATTTAAACCTACTTTCAGTCCCTATGTAATTTTACTTCGCTGTCTATAAATTTGCTTTTAGTTATAATTAGGGTATTTTAAGATGGCTATCTCTGTGCTTTCTTGGTTTGTTTGGAATGACCAAATAATTTAATCTTTCTTGAATTATGCATAGTATCAATTAGAATTTGGATTAGCTTGGTTGAATTTAGTTTTTCTTACTTGATGTGCAATTGTTGCAGGAATCATTTGAGATCCCTCGAGGTCAAGGATCTCAAGGTGGGGATATCGAATTAGGAGCTCAAACGAATGCAGATGAACTAGGCCTTCAAAACTTCTTTAAAAAGGTGCTCTAGATTTCTTGATGTAAAGTGTAATTGTTCTTTGTATGCCAAGTATATAAACATAATTTCGACTTTTATTTGTCCCTCCTGTTTCTTCTCATAATATTTTTTCTGTGGGTGGATTTAAAATCTTTGTTTTGGTATAATGCAGCTTGAATAACTATTCTCATACAATCCTTTGTATTGACCAGGTTCAAGAGATAGATAAACAATATGAGAAGCTTGATAAGCTACTCAAAAAGCTTCAGGTATCTGATCAAATACCTTTTCCTACTCCTTGTAACACCAATGCTGCATGAATCTTCGGGTTTTCTATCTTTACTGTTTTGTTCACTAATCTGACTGAAAACTTTGACAATTTCTTACCTTTTTACTCCTCCTTATGGAAGCTCTAGACTAAAAGAAAGAAAAGCTAGTTTTCTGTTGGACCTTTTTAGAATATTAACAGAGTTAGTCTTATTCCCTCCAGATTTTAAAGTTGTTCAGCTTTTGTTTTGTTTCCTTGATTTTCAAAGTCTTCATTCAGAAGCACTAGGATCGTACTCTCTCTCTCTCTAGGCATAAGACCTAAAGCATGAGATTGTGAAGGAGTCTATGCTAGCTGGTTGAATTCTGGTGCAATTTTGCATAGTATTTTCATCTCATATTATGAAGTTGTGGTTGATGTTATCAGTTGAAACTTGCATAACATAATTCGACAGATGATTTGGTAATGATGAATCTTGTAAGTAACATTAATGAGTATTTGATTAAGAAGTCCTTATGATGCATTTTCTATGCAGGATGCACATGAGGAGTCAAAGGCAGTGACCAAGGCTCCTGCCATGAAATGTAAGCAATAGTTTTTCATATGTTTCTTACATTCTTAGTTTCACTAAAGATGCAGCATGTAGGAAAAGGAAAAGCATGATGAAGCCTGCTTTAGTATCTTTTTTAATGACTTTGCTATTGAAGTTTATATACATCCTATTCTTTATGTGCTTCAATTTGGGTACATTGTTTTGAAATTAGTTTTTATGATGGATTTTATTAATGTCTGTAGCTATTAAACAGCGAATGGAAAAAGATGTCGATGAAGTTGGAAAAATCTCTCGTTTTATAAAGGGGAAAATTGAGGAATTGGATAGAGAGGTAAGCTACTTAATGCTTTTATTTTGGTTATTTGTAGCTCATAGGTTTCTTATTTCTTTTTCTTGATGCTGCGTAGAATTTAGCCAATAGGCAGAAGCCTGGGTGCGGAAAAGGAACAGGTGTAGACCGGTCAAGGACTTCAACTACTCTGTAATATTACCATCCTTTTCTATTGTTCCATATTCCGTTTTAAAATACAACTAAGCTGTTATAATTGATTACTATTTGATGTCGATCTGAAGTCTAAACTAAACTTGGCAGAAGTCAGCTATATTTTATTTTCCTTGCTGTATTTAGTTTGACAAAATCTGATAGGTTTTAAGGATCCAGGGATGCTACCTTTTTTTCCCTTGATACTTCAAAAAAATTGTATATTCTTCCTTTCTACAGTATTGGAGCATGTGTTTAGCATTTTATATCTAAAAGTGTTTTTATATCTTTGCTTGCAAGGGGCATATGGTTGAATGCTGGCTACAAGTTTATAAAGCTTGTTTTTGTACTATATTTCTTGAAGATCACATTGGTTGTGGTTTTGGTTCATGATTAGGACAGTATTTAATTCTTAACCCATGGTTTAGCGTTGTGTTATCCAATGTGTTAATGATTGAAATGCACCACCCGTCCCTCCCCAGCCCCTAAAGAAAATGTAAGTTTAGGAATGATCTTAATTTTATGTGGCTGATTTTGATCCACCTCTATTGAAATCCTTTTCAAGCTTTTTGGCATGATGGTATCTTATCATATTTTTGTTATTCTTCTTGTAACAACCTTTTTGTTGCAGTTCCCTGAAAAAGAAGTTGAAAGACAAAATGGCTGAATTTCTGGTAGGTCAGATATAGATATTTTAAGATGTTACATGGTTGCTCAGTATGTACTCTCATAACTTCATAACCCCACTATGTTATTTGTATTAATTATTGCAGACTCTGAGGGAAACCATCCATCAAGAGTATCGGGATGTTGTCGAGAGACGTGTTTTCACAGGTTGAGGTCTCACTCTATACTTCTTTGTTAATTGATATGATATGGTATTATAGGGAGCTAATATTCTTCTTTACTGGTTATTATGATTTCCAGTGACAGGCACAAGGCCGGATGAAGAGGTATGATTTACTTCACTCCTGATATTATGAATAATTCTCCATCATATGTGGCACATATCTGATTGTTCAGCAATGTACAGACAATTGAAAATTTGATTGATACTGGAGATAGTGAACAAATATTCGAGAAAGCAATTCAGGAGCAGGGACGAGGCCGGGTTTGTCTTAAATTTCCTTTTTTCCCCCTTAATTAATAGAATTTTCTTCTGTAATTTCAGGAATCTTATATTTGCCATTCATACCTAGGACCTACTTTTTTTTTTGGTAGAATTTTTTTTTTGATAGAATTTATTCTAAGAATATGATATAAGCTATTTCAATTTTCAAAATTGAAATTTTGTTGAATTGCTTGAGTTTTGATTTTCATTATTTTCTTCTACTCCATTTTAAGCCAGTGATATTTGTTAATAGTGGTACTTTGATTTGGTGGAGGATATGTTATTAGAAATTTGCTATGATTAAATTAATGTTTGGTGTGCTTGTAGATAATGGATACCGTTTCTGAAATTCATGAGCGCCATGAAGCTGTTAGAGACTTGGAGAAAAAGCTTCTTGATCTACAACAGGTACCGAATCAGTTTGTTGCCTTGAGGTTTCACCATTTTGATCAAGATAATCAAAATATGAAAAATTTAATTCAGGGCTTTGCCCTGTCTCCTTTTCAAACTTCTTAAAGCTTATTCCTAAGCTTCATTACTACCATACGAACTTTAATAACTAATTGAATCGTTAAATGCTTTTGGATCGAGTCCCATTCATAAATGTTGTGAACAAAGAATCATCCCACTTATGTGCATTTATGCAAATACAAGCAGAAACATGAATGAAATTGCATTGAAGATCATATGCAGAGGACATTATTAGAATCAATAATTAATAATGCAAGTAATGCAGATATTTTTGGACATGGCGGTGCTGGTTGATGCGCAAGGAGACATGCTTGACAACATAGAATCTCAGGTAAATGAATGCTTAATCGACTCTATATCTGACAAGCAGCAAAGCCGTTCCACTTATCATTTCAAAACCTCAGGTTTCAAGTGCAGTGGATCATGTGCAGTCTGGGAATACAGCCCTCCAAAGAGCGAAAAGTTTACAGAAGAACTCCAGGAAGTGGATGTGCATTGCTATCATCATCCTTCTCCTAATCGTTGTAATTATCGTCGTTGCCGTGATCAAACCGTGGAGCAACAACAAAGGTGCTTAGATTCTGTCTTTAATTTGTTATATATAATCAATATATACACACTCGCATTATAGGAATTCCACCGATCCTTTGTCGGCTCTTGGTGTGAATAATTTGACGTCTATATTACAAACTCCCGTCTTATTGCTGCTCGTCTTTGTTTGGTTTGAATGCTGTTATGATTGAAGTTTGAAAAGATTATGTTCTTTCGATAACCAAAAAAAAAAGAACTTAATAAGGACTTGGCTGATGTTTATACAGCTTGGTTTCAATATTCATTTTTAATGTAAATCAAACGTTGAATTTCAATTGACAAATTTGGATCTTCCGTATCTTAGAGCGTGTTAATTTATGTGTTTTGTTTATTAAGTTGTGGTACTTGCAACAGAGATGGATTAGGTATTTAACGGTGGCTTGTAGATCAGGCTAACTAAGGTGTTGTTAGGTAAAACGAGTGTGAAGGGGTTTGAGGAGTCTCGGTCTTGGACCACACTTTGAGAGGGACTTTGCTAGGGGTTGATCATTCGATCAAGTTGAGTCAAAATTTTTTTGAATTATTCGAATTGACAAATCATATTTTATGATTCAAATTTTATTTGATGTTATTTTTAGTTGAGTTGTTTGAATTTCTATACAAATTTAACTATAAAATATTTATAATATCATGAGACAAATTGATTTCAATTTATTGACTTTTTATAATCATATAAGATATGCTCATATTTTTTCATATTTTTTTTATATTGTAATATTATTTAATAAATCAAATACAATCTAAAATTATAAAATATATTTGTAGTATTGTTTTTAAAAGATAAAATATCAAAATAAGTATAAAGGAGTTAATGAATTGATGAAAAGAAAGAATTTGTAAAAATAAATTATAATTAAATAAAATATGATGTTAAGAGATTAAATTGTAAAAAAGTAAATTTGTATTTAGAAATAGGAATTGAAGTTAGATAAATATTTTGTAGTGGTATTGGAGTACGTGGTTTAAATGCAATAAAACATGGATTTAAAATGATGAATTTAAGGAATATTGAGGGATAAATTGAAAAAAATAGAAAATTTACTATCAAATAGAGGAATTGAAGATACATATGTATTCTATAATAATTTAAGAGCATGTGGTTCAAATTTGATAAAAAAAATAAACTTAAAATGAAGGAATAATGATAGAAATAAACAAATTAGAGACTAAATCGTAAAATTATCAGAATATTTAAACTACATTTTCGGTTGACTCAAAAATTTGAAGTTTCAAATAAATCCAAACTCAAAAATAGACTTGATGATTCGAATAATTTCAATTAAAAAAGTAATTTTAAATCAAATTTTACTCATCCTAATTTTATGTTTAATCTAAACAGTGTAGCCCATCTCTAAAGAAATGAAAAGGTCTTTTGCTACGGCTTAGCTTCAGCCTTTAGGGATCTTTCATTAATAAGGGATTAAGGGTTTTCTTGAGCACATGTTAAGTCTATTACAAGAGAATCGAGTTCGAAAAATACAGAGATCTAAAATCAAATCCGAAATGACAAGGGTTGTAAAGTCATGGTTGTCAAAGAGACTTTCATATGCTCTGATTTGTAAATTCAAATATGGTTTCATTAGGGTTCTTTGATTTATTTTTTAATTAGAAAAGGTTGTAAAATCGTTAGTGACCAAAATTTAATAAATCATAACATAAATGACTGAAATGTAATTATTTGAAAATTAGTGATCAAAAGTGAATAAAACTGAATAAAAATGAGCATTCCAGTAATTAACCCTATCTGTTATTAGTAATAAAACTGCTCAAATTTCTTAGTTTCCAATGTCCCAAAAAAAGAAGAAATTTTACATTGTTTTTTTTTTATAAAAAAAATTAACAGCCAACCAAGGCTGGCCGAAGATCAGATTTTGTTACCCACAACCGGAAAAATAGCCCACAGCTACCACCTTCCCATTCCTTTCTCACAAAATTTGTATTATTGTCTTTTGATTTTAATTTCTTTTTCGGGTTTCAATTTTCCCATTTCTTCTGCTTCATCTTCTTCTTCTTGTGATTGCTCTTTTTTTTGTTCTTTTATAAATGAAATCCAAAACGGGTTCTTCATATTCTTCCTCTCTTCTTCTGTTCTTCTATATAACAGCCCTCTGTTCTATACGCTGCGTTCTGGGCTCTTCTATTTGCTCACATGGAGCTGACGTGTTCATTCAAAATATTAACTTTCAATGCTCTCCTTCGATCTCTCCAATTCCCCCTCTTAAGGTAATTTTCAGCTCAGTTTTGGTGGAATTTATACTTTTTATGTATTTATTGATTTGTTAATTGGTATAGGAACAACGGGTCCTTGGCATTTTATTCAAATTTTCATTGGATGAGTTTTATTATATATTTATTTATTTTTAAAATCTGATTCTAATTGTTTGTGATTTTGCCTAATTCTGCTAAAAGAAGAGATTTTTTTTATTAAATTTTTGGATTTTTAGCCTGAAATGTTAGGGTATTATTGTGGAAATTTTCGTAGTAGTAAAAATTTGAAGAATCAGAAGAAAGGTTTACGGTTGACTTTTAAAATGGTTAGGGGTATTGGGTTTTAATGGTGTTATTTAATATGCAGAAATTAAATAAAGGAGAGAAAATAGAAAGGAAGCTACAAAATTTAGATTGCTTAAGGAATTTGAATATATCTATTATCTTCTTGAAGATTTTGAATTGAAATGCTATTGTATGCATTTGAAACCAAGAGCACCTAGTTATTTGAAACATTTCCTTCTATGTTTGTTCATATATTTGGAGGGTCCTTAGAGGATCATATTCCCATATCCATGTCCAGATATGTATTAGACTCGAGTACTTAAAGCAAAATGGAGAGTTATAGAAACATAGGCTATTTGAGCCATGTTGTACTACATACGCTTATATTCTGGGATTTAAGCCTTCTGCAATTCAACAGTAGTATAAGCGGGATTAGTGAAATATGTCATCTGTATTGCAAAGCTTTATTGAAGATATGACATTGAATTTGTTCGTAGAAGATTCCCATATCAGTTGGTTTACGAATCATAAGAATCCTTAGGTTAGGCCTCTTTTCTCTATAAGTTGGTTTGAAAGAGGTGTATGTCGATGTCCATAGCTGAAATCATAGTATATATCCACTTTTTTCCTCTGTCCAATGCAATAGTAAGCAAGTAACAGAACAATTTTTCTTTCCCAAGTACCTTTTTAGGATGTATGGGAGAGGCTGGTACTTGATGTCCTTCACCTGATCAATGATAATTAATATCCGTAAAATATTACAGCCAAGCATGTATTGATTTGATCCAAGTTTCTTAAGTTGAACCTTCTTAAATGATGCAGCTGGTGTTTTTGCAATTTGAGTAATCTATGCACGAAGTCATAGCCTTATGTTTCTTAACTTGAAGTGTTTGATTGTAGGCTTGTCTACTTTGTGATGCTATGATGATTTTTCATTTTCAAATGGGACTGATTTTATAAGACAAAGATGCTCTAAATGTTGTTGATGTGGCTAGAAACTCAAGCCGAATGAGGGATAAGATATACCTACCTCTTCATTCTGTACCTGTTCCCTTTCTTTCTTGAAGGGCATTCTTTATTTTCTACTTATCCATTCTCCACGAGAGTTTAAAATAATTTTTTTTAAATACCATTATCTTGAGCATCATTCAACTTATATTTCCAAATCGTCAACAATTAGGGTTCATGCTGTTTTCTTGATGTTTCTCCCTAGTCATCACATTTATGTTTAGTAAATTTGCCATTCTTCCCGTTATTTAGCTTACATCACTGTTTCATGTGATTGTAAGATATGTTTTTAGTATTACCAATTTTGCATGACTTGCAATTTCTTGGAGACAAACATTCTGATAACATGTTGTTTATGTTTCTCAACCTATTTGCAGGTTAATGGAGATTTCCTTGACAGAGCGTTGTCTTCCAAACAGCAAAATGGTTACACTTCTGTGCTCTTTTATGCTTCGTGGTGCCCATTTTCTCGTAGTTTGCAACCAAAATTCGACATTCTGAGTTTCATGTTCCCTCAATTAGAGCATCTGGCAGTTGAACAGTCTTTGGCTTCACCAAGGTGTGTAGCTACTTATCTGGCTTTTTCTTTTCTTTTCTTTTCTTTTGTTCTCTACTAAAATGACTGTTTCAACTTAAGAAAAAGCGGTGATATTCTTATATGAATTGTACAAGGAGAGAGAGAAGTTTTTGAAGTGTTGGTTTGTGCTACTTACAGTGTTTGACACGACTTTAAATATGCTATTAATTGATCTCTTTTATATTGCATCCTTATGGTCAAACTCAGTTTCACGGTTTTGAATTGCTTAGTCTGTTTATCTTTGTTACTCGGACTCGGGTATGTATCATTCTGTCTAAGGTTTTTCATGTGTAATTGGAGTCTTTGGAGGTTATAGCACTATATCCATGTTATCAGACATAAATGTTGGATATGGGTAGTTGACGAAAAATGATGAGTCGGAGCAACATAGCTGCTAATGACATTTGGCGAATCAGTTAGTCAAGGAAACACATCTATGTCCTAATTCCATTACTTACAAAGTAGTTATGCCTTTTGAAGTAATTTCCTATCGATTATATAGTTCTGCTGTTGTTTTATTCTATCCATGATGGAATGAGACATTTGTGACACCTTTTAAACTAATACCTTTTATACATGTTGTATCACAGTATATTTTCAAGGTACGGAATTCATAGCTTGCCTTCAATTTTAATTGTGAACCGAACATCAAGGGCACAATACAGTGGACCAAAAGATCTCCTCTTAATTGCTCAATTTTACGAGAAAACTACAGGTATTCATTCCCTGATGCCGAATATATATCCACTTCTGCTTGATAAAACTAGCCTGAATTTGTGAGTTGAGCATTATCACATTTCTGCTAACACTAGTGTCTGGATTTCAGGATTTGAACCCGTTCAATATGTTGCTGAAAAAGAACCCAATGTATCTGGAGACCAGGATAAATATATAATAATGTCCCGGAATGAGTCGTCAGCAATGGAGATGGTAAAACAGGAGCCCTACTTGGCTTTTGCTTTGTTATTTCTCTGTCTAAGAGTATTTTTACTTGTACTCCCGGAAGTACTTTCTCGTCTCAAGGCTGTGTGGGTTTCCTACGCTCCACAGTTAAACTTGGAAATATTCGGTGAGACGAGTCAACTGTTTGTGAGAGCCCTTCACATGGTCGATGTTCGGAGAGTTTGGGCCAAACTGAGGCTATGCAAGACCTGTAATTTTCAGCAAGGTGCGAAGAGTGCCCATGTTTGGGCTTCTTCACTAGCATCTGTCTCTTTGGGAGAATATTCTTCTGCTAGATCGTTGTCATCGTCCTAGGTCGGGGTATTACAGAACTGAGCTATACCGTAGGAAAACTCATCTATCAGTTTATGTATTACAACCCGCGATGATGCTTTCGGACACACAATCCCTTCTATCTCACTGGTGTTATGCTTGTATTGCTAGTCTTGATATACCTAAAGCTGTTGGGTTGGGGTATTTTTGGTATTTTTCATTGGAGAAAAACTAACCGCCATGTAAATCTGAGAACATCTGTGTTTACCTTTTGTGTATGTTACTTTTCTTTTAGGAGGAACATAACTACTTTCATACATCACTCTAAATGTAAGCTTTACTTTAAAACTGTTGTTTGTAACTTGCAAGTGTCGTAGAAATAAGCTTTACATCACTGGAATGATGTTTTGTGGAGTTAATTGCATCCACCCTCATTTTAATTTGGTCCTTAAACTTTTTATCATTCTAATTTCATTCCCGAATTATGACCTTCTTTTTAAATTGGTCCCTAAACTTTTGAATATTCTAATTTCATTCTCAAATTCATCCAAGTACGTAATTAGTTTCAATTATAATTTAAACTAATTTTTTCCAAATATATAATAATATAACTTGGTCTAACAATTTTATTAATAAGGATGAGATTAGTGTATGCATGTAGTTTGAGATGAAATTATAATGTTTAAAAAAATTTGGGGATCAATATATATATATATATATATATAACTTTTTGTTCTTCAAAAATAGAGAAACATACTCACACCAATATAATTATGTGTTTAATTTTAAGTACTAAGATATTGAGATATGTACATACTTAGCTTGATGTAAATATATGTTAAGTGCTCCACTTTTTTATTTTATTCATGCAACATGTATGAGTTGTACATCGAAATATCATAATAAATTATTTGATAAAAATAATAGAAAACATAAAAAATATAATATAGAAAAACCTTTTATCATGTACATCATATTATTTTATAATAAATATTAAAAAAATTAGAATCACAGTAAAAAATAAAAAATTATACCAAAATAAAAATATTTTTACTTTATAATATTTAAAATTATATAATATTTAACCTAAATCAACGACTTAAGGAGAAAGTAAAATATAAAACTACGGATTATTATACGATTCAAAGGAATAAAGGAGATGATAGTTTTGAAATAGTTAATTCGTTTAGGGATAATTTTGTCCAACCAGACGGGAATTGACAAATGCATAAAATATTGGAGGGAATAGATTCCTGGAATCCAAGTCAAAATAGCTATTGTAGGTAATGTTTCATTACCCCCTTAAAGGAATATTCTTGAACCAAATATGATAATGTGATTCCGGAAAAGATCGTTCCCCTACTAATAATCTCTTCCTTGATCCAATATCCCCTAATGATAATCTTATATTCCATGAACCAAACGACCCCTTAAAGAAACATTCAAACTAAATGAAATAAATAAGGTAATGCAATGTGAGTTTTTATTCTCTAAAATATTTTAGTATTATTTTATTTTAGTTTTATATGTTAAAATATTCCGATATCATATTAAATGATCTAAGTGATTAAAGTATTGTTATTCTTCTTTGAAGTTTCGAGTTCGAGCAATAATTTCTATAGTGTATGTGTGTATTATTAATAGTTAAAATATATGTTGAACAAATACTACTTTTAATAATCATAAAACATTATATATATATATATACATATATATATTTCAATTTTCGAAATTGATAAAATCTGAACTCAAAAATCAATTCATTAATTTAAGTTGATTTTAACAACTTCACTCCAATAGTTTAAAATTAAAAGAAAAACGATTTTTTTAACCCAATCGATTTTTACTCACCCTACCTATCATAACTATTAGTAAATTATACTTTTACTGCCTAAGTTATGATTTTTGTTCCATTTTAGAACCTAATTTAATTTTTTAAAAACCATACTTAATGTTTAGTTTATAATTCAATTTGGTACCCACCCTTAAAAACTTAGCGGCAACGATGGCGTGAAATTATTTTCCCTTTTTTGATATTCCACGCGTCTTACAATAAACATCATAGACGCCGTTAAGTTTTTAACGATGGAGCACCAAATTGAAACTTAAACTAAACATTAGGTATGTTTTGAAAAAAATATAAATCATAGATACTAAACGGAACAAAAGTGATAATTTAGGTACTAATGTTTTATAGTTTATCCCATAATAATTTTGTATACGATAGTAACCCCGGAATCTGTTAACAAAACCATATAGCCATTGCATCAACAAATGCGGCGATATAATTTAAGATTCTATGCTTGGATTTACTGTGTTGAATATATATATATATATATATATATATATATATATATATAATCTTTAAATGGGAGTTAATTTCAATGAAAATTTAGTTATCACTTCACCTTAAACACAAATTTATAGGGATTTGAACTGTATTGAAATTTGCAAGGAAGGGATACTGATAAGATGCTTAAATGGTGAAAATTTCAAGGTTTGTAAAGTTAGCCGAATGAATCCAGCTACCTTAAAGAATATCCAGCTTTTTAAATGATAATCACTAGGACAACAATATGCGTATAAATGAAGAATCGGGTGTTCTCCGATGGAAAATTTTCAGCTCTTGGCTCTCTTTCATATTGTAAATATTTGAATTTCCTCTTTCTCCATGGTGTAAAGCTTTAAAGGGTATACCATAGAAGGAAAAAGGAGATGAGAACACTTCATCCATGGCTAAAACTTGCCACCTTCTGCTGCACTAATTGCTTCCTTTTCATGGCCTTTGCTTCTACTCCTTCACTGGCAGGTTAACTTCTCTTTTCTATTTGATGTAATCCATGTATTTGTTTTTTTGTTTGAACGACAATGTTCACCTTTTGGTTTGGTGCTGGGTTTAACACTATTCGGGGTAAATCTTTTAGTAAATACAAAGTAGTATATGTTCAAATACTCTCAACCATTTGAATGTTCATATTCTTGTATATATGGTGCTCGAACCGGAACCTCAAGGAATAACAAACTAAGGTAACTTGGTTCGTGCATAGTAATATAAGATAAGTCCAAAATACAACCGGTTAATATAAAATTAAAAAATGACAAAAATCGATTGTAACCGAAAAATTTATTAATAGCGTAACTTTTTAGAGTAAAATGTGTAATATTTTAGGTTGAAACTGAAAATATTGTGTTTTTCATAACAATCCATGTAAATTACACAACTACTCCGATTAGAATCTAAAAGGTTACTGTTAAGACATGTTCGGTTGTAACCAAAATTATTATCGATTGTGTAACTTTTTAGAGTAGACATATAATACTTTAGGTTAAAACTCATCGTAATGTAACATTTTCAATTGTAACTGAAAACATTACCTATTATATAATTTTTTAGGTTAAAACTCGCCGCAAATTGTAGAATTTGGAATTCAAAGCTAGATTGATTGGATAACATCTCTTAAAAGTACTTTTGTTACGGTAAACAAAAAAGGAGGAGGTGCTTTTAAGAAATGTACTTTTCAACCCAAATACAAAAGTTAAAAAAGTGTTCTTGACTATTGGAAAAAGTGATTTTGAGTATGAAATTATCAACATAATATTAATAATTAGATAACAATTTAAGTCCACTTGGATCACTTGTTTTTATAAAGGAAATAGTTGCCAGGGGATAGGAAAAGAGTTGCAGATACACTTGAATTAAAACCCAATTATGCTAATTAATGAAACCTCAAAGATCACCTTGTTTTTCTCTTGGAGTTATACAGTGAACTCTATGTTAACTATGTTTCTAGATAACAGTTCGGCTTTGAATTGGACATTTTAGAAACCTTTTTTCTATTCCTTTTCAACTGTCTATATTAATCGTAATCGACCATGGTAGATGCGATTGAAAACACGTCTGTGGCTGCAGCTTAACAATTTTTGCTATGGTATGCAGACTGTACCTTGAATTTCACTTCACACCCTTACCTACCAAGTGGTGACTGCATTGGTGACAATGAGAAAGTTATCTTGTGGGGTATGATATCTTCACACCTTTGCTGTCGAAATGCCCTGAATGCCTTCGCTCAAGTTCTATCAGTTCGAGCCATTCAAACACCAGACAGTACCATCTTCATTGGGCAAGATTCATGGAAACAATGCAATTCTCCCTTTCCAACACAACAGTTGGTTTCCATAGAATCTTGTGGATTCAGCAATTTTTACTCTGGCAGTTCCAAGTGTACAAGTTTATCTCTGTCACAAATTCAAGGCAGTCCACCTTACCTGGAAGCAGTAAAATTATGTTCTAACTTGAGTTCTTCATTTCAAAGCTCCTGCAGAAACTGCACTGATGCCATAGCAAGGGTAGCTTCGTTTCTATTGCAAATATTTCAAGCGCAGACTAATGGTACTGAAAGTGCATTATGTAATTTAGCTGCTGTTCTGTCTGTTGCTGCTTCAAATGCCACTGAGAGCTCTTTTGGTGCAAATTTGTTTAGCTGCATGTCTTCTTTAGATGTTTTTGGTAAGAACCATAACTTAGAAGTCTTTTTTTGCCTAGTTCAGGTCTATGTTACTCCGACTTTTCATTTTTCTTGAAGTTTCCTCGTCCATCATCTGTGAGAAACATTTTTGGACATGTGTACGGAGAGAAATCCTCCAATGACTCACCAAATACATGAAAAAACTCTGAAACATACATGTTTCGGATACATACCCGTATCCGACACTCACACCCTAGTTTGAGTAAATATAACTTCAAGTTTCACTAATCCTGACTTTGAGCCTTTGTTTGTCTAACAGATCCTGGCTACATCAAACTCAAAAGTAAGTTGAATTGCTTATCTCCATGTCTTTCTGCTGTTTGAGCCGGAGATTTAAATTTTGGTCGCGGTTTCAGTGAATATCCACAATGAATGTCACTGGAGAAAGCTGAAATCGTAAAATTGTGTCTACTTTCAACCCCTGGTTTGAGCTGCATTGAAAAACTTATAAAATGCTCACTGAAATCATGTTTAGGGTCCCTGGAAAAAGCACTTATTGCGCTCTCTGTAGCAGTCATGGTGCTGTTTTTGATCCTATTCTTGGTAAAATTTGTGGCCTTGAAGAAGGGAAAGAGCGAAAGAAAGCTTCCAAAACCAATGCCACCAAAGGACAGCAATGCCTGGTCTGGTCTCTACAGATTTTCAAAGTCTGAGATTGAGAAAGCTATAATCATTAACAATGTAAGGAAGAGTTTAGGCCAAGGGAGTGCCGGTGAAGTTTACGAAGGCAGGTTGCCTAGCGGTCAAATTGTGGCCATTAAGCAGATAAATAAAGGTAACTCTTTGGATACTTTCGCTAGGGAAGTTGCAAGTCTTTCCCGGATTCGACATCCGAACCTCGTTTCTTTGCTTGGTTGCTGTATCGAAGGTGATAAGCAGTACTTGGTCTTGGAGTATTGTCATGCGGGGAATCTTGCTCAGCATCTCCTAAGTAATTTTTTCTTGAAACCATTACATGTTGCTTGTTCTTTCAGTAATGTGCTATTTTTCCACCCCAAATTGCAGCGTCCAAGCTTTAAGAAGGGTTGTGGTATTACATATGCTTGGTTTCGAGTCAAAAATCTATTCAATTTCGCCTTTTAAGATCGAGGATTTATGAACTAACCTTACTATGTTCTATTTTCAGGGAAAGACCGCGTCTTAACATGGGATAGAAGAGTTAAGATCCTAAGAGATTGTGCACTTGGGCTGAGGTATCTCCATAGTTACATTGATGGATGCATTGTTCATAGAGATATTAAGGTAACATTGATCATAACCTAGTGATCCATCTCTGCAAGCAACTGATTATTCATATAATTATTCCTAATTCTGAATGCATGTGTTGTAGCTCACAAACATCCTCTTAACTGAAGATTTGGATCCCAAACTCTCGGATTTCGGGCTGGCAAAGATGCTTGGAATGGAGGAAAGCAAAGTATTCACAGATGTGAGAGGAACTATAGGTTATATGGATCCAGAATACATGACCAATGCAAAGCTAACCTGTGCCAGTGACATATACAGCTTTGGCATTGTAGCCTTGCAAATTCTATCTGGACAGAAAGTTATCGAGTTGGATCTCGATGCCAGCGAACAACTTACACGAAAAGTATGCAGTCCGATATTTGATTGTGATAGTAATGGTCATTCGAATCCGGAAATGTTAACCAATACGAATTTGATGTAGGCAACGGATGTGAGCATGGGAAAACGTCCACTTACAGATTTTGAAGATCCGAGGCTTCATGGGGATCTCAACAGGAAGGATTTCGAATCCATTTTGCATATTGCAGTACTTTGTGTTGCGAAATCAAGTCGAGGCCGACCGCCTATCGATGTTGTTTTCGATGAGTTAGATAAAGCTTGGAAAAACACCGAAGCTGAAATGGTTTGATCACTTCTACATTCAATCCCTCCATTGTTTATATAAATCCTATCTGTTAATGTAGGATTAATTCGTTGAAATATGACTATGTTTTAATAATGCAGAAAATGAGGAAAGAAATTGGTACATCGGCAACGTAGCAGACAAGGATTGTGAATACAGAGGAAACACCTTTTTCTTGTAAGAACTGGAAGATTATGTCAATTACTACATATATACATACATATATGTGTGTAACGTAATATATACATCTCTATATATATAGTATATATGTAAATATATTGGTTGATTTACATCTATTTTTAAGTTTGAGTCGATTTTCAGGACGAAGATGGTGTGACATCCTCTGCAAGTTTATTGTCTTAAGAAAGCTTATTGAAATATATGGTAATTGTTACCAAATTATGTAATTCTTCTAATAAAGTATAGTGTTATCAAATTATGTTATTCTTTGATGCCGGAATAGTATATATATCTTATAATCCACTTTACAAAATACACTTACAGTCATCTTACCATTAATAAGTTTACATTTTGGTGATTTTATTAGGAGAAGTTATATTTTTTATCATTCAACTAATTGCAACTAATTGTTTTCAATTATTCAAGTCACCCCGCGGATGCTAAAAAGTTAAAATTTAATTATTAATGGGATGGTTCAAGTGGTAAATATTTTGATATCGTTTAAGCAGGATTTGAAACTGATGAAACGCAAAGTAAACTCAGCTGCTGACAGTCTTGCCAAGTCTAATGCTAATCCAATGGAACCATCTGTGTCTTTCATGAAGCCCCCCCCCCCGCCATCTGTGTCTTTCATGAAGACCCCCCCCCCCCGCCCCTTCTGTCCAAGAAATCCTCTATAATAAGGAAAAATCAATGTCCATCAATAAAAGCTTAACGGAGAGATAATGATACACCTGTCATATGCACATTCCATAATTGCATGCATTCTGAAGTTTCTCTAGCTGATAAACGGTGCGTGTAAGAACACTTGCAGCTTTCTGACATACCATATTGTTTTTTTGAATTGTCTTCTGTGACCATGTTAGTAGATTAAAAGATTTAATGGGAACTAATTATTTTCACATATTTGTTCATGTTAGAGAGGGAGTGATGAAGTTCTGCGAGAAATATCAAAGAATACAAATGCATGGACAAGAGAAGAAACTACCTGAGGTTGGTTTCAAGAAGCTCGAAAATTTTGAAGAACTGTCGGGGAGATACTCAGTCCAAGAAAGGTGTCCCAGTAGTTTCTTGACAGGGACAAGAGAAGAAACTACCTGCACTGAACGACATAGTAATAGGTCCCCTTGAAGGCCTTTCTTGGATTTAGTATCCCTCTCACAGTTTTCAAAAGTTTATTGAATCTTGAGCTTCTTGAACCAATTCCAAGTAGTGTCCTCTCTCGTCTCTGCATGTATTATTTGTATTTCTTGCAGAACTTTATCCCTTCTTCTCTTCTCTGTAATGAACAAATATTTCAAAAACAATTATTTCTCATTAAATCTTCGATCAACTAACATGAACACAAACAATTCAAGAAATGGAGAACGGTGGCGGTGGTGATGACGGCGATTATAAGATGGTGTGTAGTAGATATGATCCCAAAACTTAAAGTCTGTAAGAGAAGAAGAAGAAGAAGGTAGGAGGCAGAAGAGAAGAGATGAGGGAGAGAGTATTTAGAGAAGCAAGTGAGAGACTTCATTTACATATATGCCGATCTACACTTATATAGTAAATTTAGAAATCTATTTACTAAACTACCATTAAGGGTCAATTACCTAATTTGACCCGTAACAGTAGTTTTAAGATTTTATGTGATGAACAGAATACAATTTCGTTTTTTATAACATCTCTTTCTTTGACTGATTTGTTATTCTATATGTATTTATGTCATACTTTTTTTTAAAAATTTTGATATATTGTTTGAATTTTTTAGTCGTTGAGCTGTTTTTATCTTTTGTTTTTCTCATGATTGGATTTGACGTCACTATAATTGATAAAAATAACGTTTATTTATTATCTTGCTGATCTTTCGTATTTTTGCAACCTCGAATTGAATTTAAATACGTAACATGCATTCATAGATAATTTTCTAATGATGTTTGGCTTTGATTTGCAATTTTTTATGGTATTTCATTAGTTTAATCTCCTTTTGTGGTTCATTTGTTGTAACAATCAGATATGTTCGTATCTATCCATTGTTCGAGTTTTTAAGATGAGTTTTTCACCTTTTCCTTATATGGTCATTATATGATCCTCAGTTACTAATTTTTTGTGTTAATGATAATAAAAAAATATCTTAATTATGTGTTTGGTTTATGATTCTAGTTGTAAACACTCATTATAATTTTATATACTTTTTTCTTTATTAATAAAATTAACTCCTTCTATTTCCACACACACACAAAAACATGCCTTAATTGGTCTATGTTCAAAGAAATTGACGTTGGATTAAAATCCATAATTGTGGGCACACATGTATAATGTACAATATTATCATAAAGTATGACATAAAAAATTAAGTGACCAATTATGTTACATGTGTCATAGATATTAAAGTATCATGAAATTAAAGTGTAGATATCATAAATTGTATTTATAGTTTGATGAGGGACAAAATTATAAATACTTAATAGATTCACCTAATATTCATTCAATAGAAAGAGGTAGTGGTCTATAAGAAATAGGTGGATTTTTATAACTCTTATTATGTCAGAGAGTTTACATTTAAAGAAGATTCAAATATTTTAATCTATCAATTAATTTGGACACGCTTATGCTTTTAATTTATTATTTTTGATGATTTAGTAGGATAAATATTGAATTCTTGATTTTATATCAACTAGGTTTTAGTTCTAACAATTTACTCTCTGATATTGAACATCAAAGGCATGCTTTTTTCTAAAAAAACTAAAAATATATGGACTTTAATGACTAATGCTGAAATGTGTTAATCCAACAACCACATCATTCTCCTCATAACCCGTGCGGCCACTCATGTCTTTGAACGGAAGCATAATCCGACAGCCAAGTTTCGCACCCATGCCAAGTTCTAACTCCAACCACATCATTCTTTCCACACATGCTCACCAACCACCTTTGGAGTGGTCGCGTGACCTTGGTCATTAAACCCAGTGTCTGCCTCACATCATGTGCATCCCACCGACAGAACCGAACTAACGTGCCCACTCCGCTGCAGTCAACACCCATCACCTCTTACTTGTTAGAAATACTTCCCTAGTAGTCCGTCCACCGGATTTATGTCACGTTAGTTCGTCTGTTAAGTTTTTAATGATGGATACTAAAATTAAATAAAAAACTAAACTTTAAGTAGTATTTTAAAGAAAAAAATATAGTTTAAGTATTAAAATGGATTAAAACTGATAGTTTATGTACTAAATGCGTAGTTTACTCGTAAATTTTTTAACCTTGTACCAAAAGGTGAAACCAGCTGCTGCAATGCTGTGATTCTATCCCCTGCTTCTCTTTCCTCGCATGTAATTACTAGCAAAGTAAATCATCTGTTAAACTTGATCTTCTATAAGCTGCAAGTTTCAAAAAATAGACTAATATGTATAAAGCAACCTTTGCGAGGGAACTCTCAACCTTGCTGCTTCGGCTTGCCGGTTTAGGGTTTAGGGATCCCTGAAGGATTTGGTGTTGTTATCGAAAGAATCACTGCAAACAAAATCATCAACGCGGCGCTAGAGAACCATTACACTACTTCCAACGTCGGATCTTCTTCAAAAAATCTCGACGCAACCGATAGAGGCATCAAAGTACCAACTCATCAATGGAGATCATTAGTTAGAGAAGAGTGAAGGAGACAACTAGCCAGCCGAAAAAAATGTAAAAGTTAGAATATAAATAAAGTAACGGTAAACTTCTATTAAGTTAAATAATATTCATTAATACACGTGACATTAAACAATTGATAGGACATACTAAGCAGCACATAAAAGGGGGAATAGATTTGTGTTATGTAACAATAGTTATATCTTTCCTCAATTCTTTAATGACGGATTTAAAAATTTAAGAATAGGGTCTAAAATTTTATATTTTTTCTTAAAAAATAATGAATATGTTAAATTTTTTATTTTTTTCTTAACACGTTAAATTAAATTTAATATTTTTTAAAAACAACGGGATGCACTTGACCCTAGGTACTCAGTGCATCCGCCCATGGTTCATCCCATTTCACTCCAATCTTAGTTTAAATATACTAATGCCACATGTACTATTTCAGAATTTTAAATCTAATCCTTATATTTTGTTTTTGTGAAATTGAATCATTATAGTATTTTTTATATGAAAATATTGGTACCAACGTTAACTTTTATTTAATTTTAATGTTAATTGTTGATCTAACCACTATGAAAAAAGTCTTAACTTTTGTAGTCCTCTACATCTACATTCTTATCAATTTGACCATTAAAAGGTTATATATGTGAATGGTTGAGAAATTATATTATTCAATTAATGATAATTTTTTTTATTTATTTTTAAAGATTAAAGGTCATATCAATAAAAAAAAGTTAACATAAAGATTATAAAAGTTATTTTTTTTCTCTTTTTATAGCTGTCATATCATGAATTAACATCAAAATTAAATTTAGGGGAAGGGTCTTTCAAATAAAAGATAATATGTTACTCAATTTTGAAAAATAAGGGTGTAAATTAAAATTTTTGAAATATTATAAAGCCCTTAACATATTTAAACCTTAATAAGGTAAGTAGGGTTTGATAATATTATGATCACTTCAATCGTTCTTTCTCTCTGATCTGGGATGAATATATTGTAGTATTTATTTAAAATCTCATAACCGTTTGACAATGAATGTTCATACTCCTGCATACTCGGCGCTCGAACCCGAAATCTTAATGGATAACAACAAATATCTTAATTATTAAAGTCGCTTAATTATTGCACTTATGGATATCTTGATTTCATGGTAATGTATTTTTTTTGTGTTGTGTGGTTCCTCCGGTGTTCTTCACCTCGACGGCATTCATACAGTGTCCACTAGGATGGTATTTAAGTGTTTGACACTGCATCTTGAGACAATAGATTTGGAGTTAGGATCAAATATTGAAAAAGGGTAAACGTTTATTAAATACTTAAATAAAAAATTAAAAAGATAAAAGATTTATTTAATTAATATGTAAACTAAAAAACCTTGAATGTTATTATATTAAAATATTTGGGAGCAACAACAGTCCGTCCCATACAAAGAATGGCTCCGAGTACCTCGGGAGAAAAAGAAAAGCCATGAAGATGATTGAATCTCTTTCAAATAATAGAAAGTGTTAACAAGACTGCACATCCATCCATATGAGAAACTGGTAAAGAGTTTTCAATGGCTCCAGTGAGATGCCTAATCGTGTTTTCCTTATTCCATTACTAGAGATGAAGAAAGCAAAAAGCGTACAGTTCTGGTATCCTACAATATTAAATAAGGAAAGCATTCTTGATATTGCTTCAAAGATCATTCAAAGTTAGATTGGAAGAAATTATATAAGCTTACAACTTCATTGCTTCAAGGCAATGGACTTGAATGGGGACGGTTCGGTCCAAAATATAATGCCGGAAAAGATTAAATCGATTGCAATTGAAAATTTTATCAAGACCATAATATTTCAAGTTAGACATAACATTTTTTTTATAAATCTGAGATGAATACAAGGTAATATCTGTTCAAAGACCCGACATTTTGACAATGATGACTCATACCCGCGTGAGCATAGTGTTCGAACACGGGACCTCAAGGGATAACAACAAATTCCTTAACCGCTAAGGCTACTTGGTTCATGCAATATACAATCCTGCCTATAAATTGGAGATAGCAGAAATCAAAAAGGATTTTAGTCACTCCCAAAGTTATCAAAGGCTCAAGGCGCATCGAGGCGCAAAGTGTCCTGGAGCCTTGAGGCGCGAGGCGCATGAAAGGCGCGGGATTCACGAAGGCGAGGCGCATGATATCCAAAAAATTGTAACACATGTATATATTAATGCAATCAAACTCAAATATCATAGATACCCAATATTAGGCTTCAATAGAGTTTATTCTCAAATTCAAAATATCAACCTAACGTCATAAAAGTTATCAACAAGCATAATCAAGTACTAAGTTTAACAAAAACATTCAACATGCAAAAACAAAACATCAAATAAAGTCACTGATAATCATCATCAAACATCAAACTAATCCTCATCATCATCGTCAAGTGGTATGTCATCATCTTCCTCCTCATCCGTCTCACAATCCCCAATGTCTTCTTATTCAGTGTCACTCTCCTCTAGCATAACAACTTCATCATCTTCATCATCTTCATCTACAAGGTGTGGTCTAGCTTTTTCCTTTCCTTTCGAGCTTGAACTAGCAACGTTCTTTCTTCTAGTATTATGGTCACGCTCATAAGCTCCGGAAGCTATACCAACATCCTTCCATGTCAAATCGTCATCATCAAACACATAATCTTCATTTTCTTCTTCATCCTCATCCATTCTACCAAGCAACCATTCGTTACTTTCATCAATGTCATCCAAAGAGATTGGATCAATGACATCACGATGATTATAACGCCGCTTTAACGCTCGATTATATTTCACATAGACTAAATTATTGAGCTGAGTTTGCGCAAGTCGGTTTCTTCTTTTGTTATGAAGCTGCCAAATTATAACAGAATAATCAAGAGTCAAAAACATTACTTATGATGTTTCTTAAATGATATCTGAGTTACTTACGAGGCTAAAAATACTCCAATTTCGCTCACAACCACTTGCACTACACGTAAGGCTGAGGACTTTGATGGCAATTTTTTTTAATTCCGGTGCATCATTGCCAAAAGAAGCCCACCACTCGGCTGTAAATATATATTTTAGAACAAGTTTTAGAACAAGCAAAAATTAAATTTGATTTATATTATTTTATATATGTATAAAGAAAGTAACTTGGTGACTTTGCTTCTCTTTGACGTATGCATATTGTCACCCCAAATATACCTTCGGCGTTCCTATAAAGTTACAATTGGTCCTCTATTTTACCTTGATCAACAACACTCGGCATTAATCTCTCAATGCATTTAAGCAACCCGATCATCACCTCCTTATCCTCTTGAATTTGGGGATTTGAGTAGAATAACTGAGGATTCAAATAACACCCGACCGCGTGTAATGGTTGATGGAGTTGACATTCCCACCTTTTGTTAATAATTGCAAACACATATTTGTACTTGTCCTCCACATTATTAAAGGAGTTTGCAATTGCTTCTTTTGCCCTATCCATGGCCTCATATACATAGCCCATGGCCGGCCTTTTTTCACCATCAATTAACCTAAGCACTTTTACGAGAGGACCCGTCATCTTAAGGATATACACAATTGTACTCCAAAAGGTAGGCATTAAAACAATGGATGTGACTCTTTTACCACCATGCTCTTTTGAGTATTTACTCTTCCTCCATTCATCAGAAGTAAACATCTTTCTAAGGTTTGCCTTTTAAACTTGTATTGAACGAAGAGTGATGTAAGCGGTGGCAAATCTGGTTATCGCGGGTCTCACTAACTCTCTTTTCCCGGTAAACTTCCTCATCATGTTTACAACACCTGTACGGCTATATATAAACCCGTTTAAGGCCATTGCTCTCTTCAACGTGACACGAACTTTCGAAATCTTTCCTATGTCTTCAAGCATCAAATCAAGACAATGAGCAACACATGAAGTCCAGTATAAATGTGGACGTTTCGCCATCAATAAACATCCTATAAAGATATAAAAATTAAAATAGTATAAAACTTCAAGTCTTATATAATTATATAAATATATACAAATATAATAATTTAATGTGGACGTTTCATCATCTGCTGCTACATATGCAGAAGCATTGTCGGTTACCACCTGAACGACATTCTTCTCACCAACCTCCTCAACCATTTCATCAAGCATAATAAACAATTGTTCGGTATTCTTCACAATGTCCGAAGCATCAATTGATTTGATAAAAACGACCCTTTTGGAGAATTGACTAAAAAGTTGATAATGTCTTTGTGTGCAACCGAGTCTCTCCATCCATCTGACATGATTGAGCAACCATATTTAGCCCAATGCTCGTGATGTACTTGTTTCACCATCTCATCGGTTGCCTTAACCGCTTTAGTTAAAAAAGGAACTCGAATTTTGTGGTACGTAGGAGGTTTGAAACATGTCCCACATTGCGCAACCGCTTCCATTGCTACTTTAAAACTATCATAATTTGCTGCATTAAACGCCAATCCAGCATCAAAGAACCAGTTTGACAACTCCATACATGCTTTCTCCCGTAGTTGTTTTTTACATGCTTCATTGATGCTTGGTTGCTTCATTTTCCCATCTTTTCTGTTTTTCACAACTTGTTCAGGTGGTGGGGTGAAAAACATATCAATTGGTCCTTTAATGCCCTTTTTCTTCTTTGATGCTTTACTAGTACTATTACCACTTTTGCGAACACATGTACCAACTTCATCATCCTCGTCATCCCCAAAGTTGTCTACATCATCAAAATCATATAAAACTTTTGCTTCTTTTTTATTTTGACACTTTTTTCTCCATGTATTCTCTAATCTCCTCACGTAAATGAGCTGGACATTTTAGACATATTGTACTATTCCGGTATTCACCCACTATATGTTGTTTAGCCCTATAAATACATTCGGAAGTGATTTTGTCACAAAACATACATTTTACTTTACCTTTGCCCATGTCAATGCAATACTTCCAAGTTATATCTTGCTTTGAAGAAGTTGATGACTGATTTTTCAGAAGTCATAATGTCAAATCAGATTTTCCAAAAGCAAAATATTGATGATTAACAGCTGTAATATTGTCCCAGAAGCCAGAAAAATGAAAACAGAAAATTAAATAAGAGAAACTGTGATTATCAAGAACAGACACATACGCAAACGAATAACTGCATACTTAAAAAAGAAAAAAAAACAAGAACAGACACATACAAAATTACGAATAACTGTATACTTAGAAAAGAAAAGAAAAAAAACAAGAACAAACACATACGCACGAATTGTGGTGATTATCAAGAAAATTTGATTCAGAAAAACAAAATTCTTTCAACACATATGGTTAATAGTATAAATCGAAAGATCAATCGAAGAACAGAATCACTTACGGGAAGAATTGAATGTGTGAATCGATTAATCGAATTGTTTCTACTTTCTTGTTCAACGTCGCAGTCTCCAGTCGAAGAAAAGGAGGAAGCGAACGATCGATATATTAGTATGTATGGATTAGAAGGCTGATTGACAGTAGATTGAGGGTTTTAAATAAGAAAGGAGAAGGAAAAATAAGAAAAGGAGACTCTTACGTGTAATTAGAGCCTTAAAAGACAAATCAAATTCAAATAATAATAAAATATTTTCTTTAAAAAAATTAAAATGAAGATAAGATAGGATAAGTTTATTTTAAAATTTAATATTAAAATTTGTGTTCTGTGAAATATTATTATTTAGATTAGTATAATGTAAATTTCAGAATAATTAAATTAGATTTCAAAATAAATAAATTTAATTATTTTAGTAAAATTCGAATAATTTAAGTATACATACTCACAAAACTTTTAAATCATAGATTTATATCCTTCACTTAGTTATTAATCAGTAAGTTAATTAAACATTCTTTTTAATCTATGCTAATACATAGAAGTACCCTTTCTTTCCGAGTTTCATCAGTTAATCGAAATGCATTCCTATTATAGGTTTGCTTAATTTTTAGACTATCACAAATTTTGATGAGCGGAAAAGAAAATATCAAATACTGATAGATAAATAAACTTAGGTGAAGAAATGACCAAAAACGATTACAAAGCTTATTTGTTTGAAACAACATAACGAAAATGGTCGTTCATTTTTGCAGGCCATGTATGCATAGAAGAGAAGGCCCTGCAGTAATAATTACAAGGTTTTAAGCCCACATCTCGCCTCAATTGCGCCTCGACTGAGCCTCGCTGCGCCTAGGCTACGTGCCTCGCTTCAATGTTGAAAAAACCCCGTCCAGTGAGCCTATGCGCTTTTGCGCCTCAGGCGCGCTTTTTACAACTATGGTCACTCCAATCTGCTAAACTGAGTCTTGGTTGAATCAAGAGGATAAATATTGAGAAACAACAAATTGACAACCAAGGGATAAATAGATGGAAAGTAACACCCTCTAAATTACCATTTGTGCTCAAATCATCAATACTTGTATGTCTCACTGTTTCATAGAGGGGAGGTATGTTTATCGATTCAAACAAAAATGGAAAAAAAGTGAAAGGGATAACCCTACTAAAGTCGGTATAACAATAACATTCAGAAAGAAAGCATAGCATATCTGAATTTTCTATACCTACCTACTTAATGTATTGAGAAACCCACTTGAAACCATCTCCATAACCCATTTTTCGAACAATGCTACACATGAATACCTCAAGGGGGCGAACGTTCGAGTCTCCCAAGTTGACCTGACCCTTGCCAGTGGTGAAATTGGTCAGGCCAAGATGATAACGCAACTCGTCTTCTGAGGCAGCGTATGGTATATCAATCTTGTTGCCCAATATCAGGAATGGAACATTAGCCAAAGATTCATCAGAGAGGAGAGCATCCAACTCTTTTTTTGACTCCGCAAACCTCTCTTTGTCATAAGCATCCACCAGGTAAACAACAGCATCCACCTACCAACAACTTTTATATCAGTTCAACTATGCACTAAAGAAAAAGAAAACAGACATTCTGGTTGAGAGGTATAGACTCGAATCCTCTCTCTTTCGCACCAGTAAAGGTATATTTATTGAAAAAAGTGAATAGTAAAAGAAATGGAAAAGAACTTTAATGAGGTGGCCATTTTTTACACCTACCGCCTTACAAAAAGCATCCCTACATGCACCACCAAGCCTGTGCCTGATTAAATGGGACTTGCCCAAAAGGGTGAGGCGCTTTCTTTGTCTAGTGCTAAGGTGCATGGCACAGGCAAACCTAAGCACATGCCTTGAAAACACTGCTAGTAACTATGCTCTTCTTACAACATGAAATTGGTAACAACAGAAACTTGAAAAACCTATTGTGCACAAGTTCAAACCAAATGAGGAACCAGAATGCGTATAAATTATTGAAGATAAACATAAAAAGAGAACTCCATGTGATTTCTTTTAAAATATTCCTACACTGAAATCTTCACATTCTTACTTTACTAACATAGAGTGGATTATCATCCCGAGAGGTACCTTCAGAACAACTTTTGTTAAATTTAAAGTCATTATCAGCAAACTCCCCATCCTTATTCTTTGCCCATCATGAATCAGATAATCACAACAATCATTATCTGGGATTATAGAGGCACAATAAAGAAAAGGACTATGATAAAACAACTCTTGCAATTAAGTAGGTGCTCAGGTAAAATAGTAAAGAAGAAAAGAAGCCAAACAGGTGCCTATTACTCCCATATTTTAAAACCCCTATTTACACAATGCAACAAGCTTTACCCATACCGAACATTAATTTGTAAAGGGCTTTAGAATTTATTACCTAAAGTTCAATTCAAAAGGAGCTAATATTTGCGAATGATTAAACCTATGTTCCACGGTCCACATCCATGAATAAACACTTTACACATATATAAATGGTGACAAAATTTTGCAAATAAGTGCACAGTTTGTTGTCTGGAAACGATAAAATCACATGAACTTGCAGGTAAAAGATATATATACCTTGGCATAGTAATTTTCCAAACTCTTCGAGCAATCTGATGGCCTCCCAAATCAAAAGCCTTAAATTTGATTTTCCCAATACTCAATTCCTCTGATGTAGGATGCTGTGTAGGCTGATGTTGAACTAATCTCTGTCAAATGCGATTAAAATCAAACTATGAATCAACTTATTATAGAAAAAGGAGGGGGAAAAAGCAACCAACCATTTATTTTCTTCTTTTTGTAAATAAAAAATTCCAGCTACACGATTAATCCCTACATGATCCCATCAATAGTTCAAGAATAGAACATGTTAAATAGCATTCAAATCATTGTTAGATCAGAAATATTAGAACTCCATCAGAAAAACCAACAAGACAACAATGTAACACACAAATCAAATTCCCCAAAATGAGAATTAATATCAACAACAACAAAAAATAATGAATAAAGGGTGAATTGTGAAAATACCTCGTCTTTGAGCATGTGAAGCAGCGTCGTTTTGCCGGCATTATCAAGCCCTAAAAACAAGATCTTGGCCTCTTTCTGCCACAAACCAAGGGAAGCAAGAATCCCATAGAACCAATCAAAGATGAACATGATTTAGAATTGTTTGCTTCACTAAAACTAATTATAACCCAAAAACGAAAATTTGAATCTCGAGTCAAAATAACACAATCAAGAGAGGGTGGAGTTGGCGCAAACATAAAGAAGGGCGAGTTGGCGAGTTTTGACTGGGTGGGTGAGTTGTCCGGACCAATCAGGTGCTTCA